TTTCTACATTTTTGGCCGGATGAAAATCAGTTTTTTTGTCGGATTCTCTTCAGTAAATGCCAATCTATCAATCACAATTTGTGGCAAATTGAATTTTTGCAAAAAACTGGTTTTCGTGGAGGGAGTAAATTTTTACTGACAAACAATTAAACACAGTAGCGACAATTTTAACTTAAACAATTTCGGACAAACGCCATTGAATTAGAAATGTTTTTCTGCAAATTTTCAACAAAAAAAAATGTTGACCTAGCACTAAAGGGGTGGGAGAAAATTTTATTTTTTAATTAAAATCCTGAGTATTTGTTTTTTAATATTTTAACTTGGTTCTTCGATAATTTATTAATTTGTAAATTTTTTAACAGATAATATAACTAATAAACATTTCAACAAATTATTTGATAATGAAAAATCGAGTCAAAGTGGAGTTTACTATTTCACTCGCTCGCGACGGTGGAGTGGGGGACTCGAAGAGATGCGGCAGCTGCGCGACAGAATTCGCTTCAAGTTGTCAAATTTTTTCAAATTGCTATAACTTTGGTACAAATTAACGAATTTCGATCGCTATTTTTTTAAACTTGGCTAACTTTTTCTCAGGATTTCAAATCTTTTATTGCTTTTTTAAAAAAATTATAAATAATATGAGAAAATTAATATAAAATTTTATTTTTCTAAAAAAATTATTGTTAATTTAATAAATTGTTCTTTCTGCATAACTAATTGCAAAAACTGCTTTTCTCAAAAAAATTTATAAAAAAATTTTGTTTTATATTGTTTTTACCGAAATTTAAACACAATAAAATCTAAGAATAATTAAATGAAATAAATTCAATTTTATCTTTTCATTCTTAATTTTATCTTATCTTGTATCATTCCCTCATAATTGAAATATATTATTTTGATTTACACTTAAGGCGTAAAAAGTAAAAAAAACGAAAATGCGTTACTTTTAAAGTCAATTTTTAAGAAATGATGATTTTGATCTTTTAAATTTTTGACTTTAAAAGTATCGCATTTTCGTTTTTTTTACTTTTTTTTAATTTCATCATATACGTCCACTAGGTATTAATGTATACTAAAAAACAAATTTTGTTTTTTTGATTTTAGACAGTCAGGAGAGGCTCTATGCGAGGCACCGCAAATTCTTACAAATTTGAGATCAACAATTTTTAGGGCACTCTACGAATTGTAAATAACGGTTAAAAAACGAAACAATTTTTTCTTTTTTTAGTTTTTATAATGTACTTGAAGGTGCAAAAATCGTTTTTAATATTTTAAATAAAATGACTGTAAAAAAAAACATTTAATTGGGGCCCATTTTTTGCCTTCGCAAACGCAAGTACGCCTTAAATATAATAATTAATAAACATTTAATTCTAAAATAATATCCTTTTAGAAAAAACAATATCAAATAAAACTTTTTTATGAAATTAATTTAGAAACATAGCTTTTGCAATCAGTAATGTTGAAAAAACAATTTATTAAATTGACAATAATTTTTTAAGAAAAAAAAAATTCTGAAAAATTAATATTAATTTTCTCATATTATTTATAATTTTTTTTAAAAAGTAACAAAGGATTTGAAATCCTGAGAAAAAGTTAGCACAGTTTAAAAAAAGAATGATCGAAATTCGTTAATTTGTACCAAAGTTTTTATATCTCGTTCGGATTTATCAGGATAATTAGAAGAATTCGTGCTGATGAAGAATATTCTCGAAATTTGCAAGTAATTATCAAAATATGTATTGAAAAAGAACGTTGAAAAGTTGAAGCTTGGGGGTGTCTGCTCGAATTTAGGACGTGTTTGATACCATGGTCGTGAACAAATTTTTCGAATGCTTTAGACGTAAAGCATGTTCCTCTGTCGCTTACAATTTTACAGGGTGCTCCGAAATTATTGATAAATTTTTCCAATCGCGATATCACACATTTAGCGCTCGTATTTCTGACAGGTTCAATAACCGAATATTTTGTCAAATTGTCGATAATACCTAAAATGTATTTGTTTTTCCGTGGCGACTCAATGAAAGGTCCTAAATGGTCTATGTGTATAACCTCGAAGAGACGTTTTTCAGGCGGAATAGGATGCGAATTCGCCCTCCTATTTTCCTGGTTTACCCTTGGAGAGTATACACTCGATACAATTTGTGACAGTTTTCTAATTAGTTAAAATTAAAGCAATAAAAAATGTGACTAAACTCGTTAACTCAAAATATACACAAAGAATCAAAGGGGAAATTCCTCCGAGATTGTAACCGTCGAATGCTTGGCGACGATCAGACTCATTCCATTTATATTTATCAACTCACCAGAAAATTACCTTTTTCCAAAATCCTGGTTTCTCCGTAGTACGCTGGCAGATGGGCCGATAATTAAACACAAGATTTAATTCAAATAAACACTTTATTAATTCAAAAACCAACCAGCTCCACTGGTTAAATAACAGGTGTTTCGTGTCGCGACCATATTGCAAACTGATCTCCTTCGCTAATTCTACTGGAACTCTCTGCAATCTTTGGTCCAATTCCCGCAGCTCATCGAGAATGCTGGTTGTCCTTGTAGAAGACGTTGAAATTCCAGACTCAGGTTCAGACGTTGACAAAGAGTCCACAAGGCCCTGACGGTGACAAGATGAGGTTATCAAATCGTTAATCTTCACCCTGTCGATTTGTCGAGGACAGGACGGAATCACAACCTCCTTTTTCTTATTGTGACTTGGGCTCAACGATGGTGGCTTACTGGAAGACTAGGCTTCCCCCTTTCTTAACGGTTTATCACCTCTATCTTTCGATAAAACAAATTTAGGAGACTCAGATGAACTCGCTCTGCTGCTTCCGATTTTTTGACAAAACCTCTTTTCGAAGTATTCGTGTAGGTGACCGACATGTCTCTAATAGGCCTTGTTCCCAAATTTTACATTCATGTCCCTGCGATGAACTCGTCCACACCTAGGACAATCCATTATAACCACTCCCCAACGACCACAGTTTTGACAGAAAACATTACGGCTATGAGGAGAATCTTTGAGAAAATGTTTCAGTGAACAGCAGTTGTGGCAAGCACCGAGTGGGGGATCCAACTCCGGGTCGGTGGGAATTATATCCACTCCCCCAATCATTCTACCGCCTCTAATGATACGAGAACTGGATGACGAATCCGGTTTCTCACGCTGAAATTTACGCTCCTTCTCCTTATTTCTAACCTTCTCGTTATCTTTCTTTCCAACATCTTGGCTGGAAGATGGTACTCAGACCACTGACCGAATGGAAGGAGCTGTTGCGTAATCAGGCAGCTCCTCGAAACCAGATCGAGCTTGACTCTTTGAAACGCTGTTAAGGGACGATTCCCTTTTCGAACCCACATAATCCCAAGCTGATAACGGGATAGTGTTTCGATGAATCTTCTCACGCTCCTGACGATACCTCAGTACCTCCAAATCAAAGTACCACTCGGCTCTGAACCAACCACCTGTTCCAGTTTCTTAACTGCACAACGGCTCTCCCAACGTTGATAACTTTCATCTACTCCACGCGCAATATTGTCAACCTCTAAACCATGCCTGATAGGCATCTTTTCCAAAAGATTAAACGCTGACAAACCCTCAGTATTCTTGGAACGCCGCTTATGCTCCTTTATCTTGATTTTTCTTGACGACGACTTCGAAGAACACTTTATTTTAGGAATTGTGCCTGTTTCCTTCGGCGGTTCCAACTTTTTTCCTCGACTCGTCTAGATCACGGGATGGTCGAAACTCTACTTCGACAATGGAAGGGAGGTTTATACACCCTATCGCTTCCTCCGTTCCAACGGACTGCTCAGGGGCAACTGGTTCTCCTTCTCCCACCACGTCTAATATTTCCTCTGAAGAAACTTCATCCTCCCAGTTCTGCAGTACTCGGTCAATTATTGATGCGAGTGGGCTCATCGTTTGAACCTCTGGAGGTTGAAACTCTGGGATCGTACGCTTTCGTGGAACATATTGACCCCTATCGGGCAATCCTCTCGTCTTCATGCTGCTTCAACGCCACATTCCGGAACTTTCAATTCTTCCTCCACTGACGGAATGTAATCTCCTCTTAGGTTTACGATCCAACGATGGGGACACTCGATGAGCAGGCATCTACCGATCTGAAACATAATACATGTAAACAATAATTCAACCAATCGCCTGACTGCGTGGTGGAATAAAATGTTTTATTTGCAAAACGCGAGCCCTCATAACCCGTCGACTATCTCCGTCTTCTATCTAACTCGTAAACAACATCGGACAACTTTCTCGCGATCTTAAAAGGACCCTTGAATTTAGGCGCTAACTTGGCCGAGAACTTCTGAGCCGCATTTGACAATTTATGAGCACACCATAAAACTTGATAACCGACGCTGAAATTCGCAACCCGCCTATTACGATTATAATAACCGGCTTGTTTCTCGCGAGCTTCATCAACAAAATGTGCAACCAAATGGCGCAATGCATCAAGGCGCTTCATTCGATCTATCCATAATTCGGGGTCGAGACGCTGAACAGAATTTTGATTTTTGACTTCACGACGTAAACTTTTGACCGGTTCCGGATGTCGACTAAAATTCAAAAATGGGGACGTTTTGATAGAAGACTGAACAGCCCTGCTCACTGCGTGACGAAACTCGTGGACGTGCTTGTCCCAGTCTCGGTGATAGGCGCCGACAAATGAAGCAATCAAACAAATGAAGCCGACAAATGAAGCTCAGTTAGAGGTACCACCTCCGTAATGTCCCCATGAAGTACACCCTCATTAATGTCAAGTTCTCCATGTAGACGACTCACACTCGGTACTGGAATCGTTTCCTCTCTATTAGAAAGGGGAATCAACTTCTCATCGCCGATCTCTTCTTCATTACATTGCTTCATGGGGCGCTGACAGTTGGTTGATTGCTCATCAATCTCCTGTGAGTACTCCATGGCTTGTAGGTTAAGAAAAATATCATCGGAACCATCTAGTACACTACTATTGGCCCCAGCACTCTCAGTTGGGGAGGATAAAGCCACTATCCCCCCCTTTCTCGTTTCTCAACATCTCTCTTACTTTAACACAGTTGGGACAACGTGAAAACACTGTCCCCTTGGTTCCACTAACCTGACAAGCTTCGTTTGTCGCTTTTTTAGTCTTTTCTTTACATTCTGCGGCATAATGACCTTGTTGGTTGCAGTTATAACACACTCTTAGCGGACACTCGTTAGATCGATGACCCACTATTTTACAAATATTACAACTTCCTAAAGATGACATTTTTTTTGCCATTGCTGATCTATCACTCTTCCCTGAAGTAGTAGCATTCCTTTGACTTGAAGTCCAAGGCCTTGCTGACGTCTGAGAAGGGTTCACGGACGCTGACATGACTGGGGAAGACTTTTCAGTTGTTCACTTCACTTTCACTTCTTCTTTTTACGTGATTTCTTCCTAGTTTTCATAACCCGCATCATCTTCTGATTGCGACTCTTCAGACGATAATGTCAATATCGATCGGCTACGCTCACGGTCCGGATTAATATTATTAGTACGCAGATACTCTCCACCTCTGTTAATAGTGTCCCAATAACGCTGATAATTGCCTCGATCTCCGAGCTCATTAGTATTTCGAAACTGGGTCTCATTTTCGAAAACCTTTGGTTCAACGCGCTAACTTCTTCTCGTGTCGTTATTTTCCTCCCCCTACTCCTTATGTGCCATTCTTCGTATTCTGGGGGATTCAATAACTTCCTGCGGTCGTTCATCGCGGAAGGTAGGCGAGCCTTTCTCTGTTCGTCAATTTCCGATGGAGAATTTTGTCGTGGACGCTGACGTGGAAGCTGATAATCTCCTCTCTTCGGTATCGTGCCAGTATTCGACACTCGATCGGCTGAAACAGTACTCGGTGCAATCATTTGTTGCTTACTCTTACCCTCATCACGTGGAACTTCAAAAGATGCCTTTGGATGAGCCCAATTCAACTCAACATTTCTATTTTGAGCGAAGAAAGCTCCCATACACGGGTCATAGTGTATCCTGGCGTCCACCTGACTCATAGTAAAAACATTCGGGGAAATATTTGGGGTTGTCCTCCCAGAAGAAGGCAACAACCACGAGACTTGTGAGGGAGACGCTGATCGGCTTGATGCCGTTGTGGTAGTCACTGATGGCCGCTTTTCAGTATTCACTACTGTTACACCTAATGACGAACCAACGCTGACAACACTCCGAGCCCTCGCCTCTGAATTGGAATTTATAAAAATATTTTCTACCTCCGATACCCCACCTACTGCCTGGTTATTTTCGGGATTTTCGCTTTCCCTGCTCTCTTGAACATCACCACTATCATTCTCAAACGATGACAACTCTACCAGGGGTCTATTCGTTGCCGGTGACGTTCCCTCTAACATAAAAATGTAAACGGAATTGGCTGTGTCATACCTTTCTAACCACGGCACGTAAACCACTTCACTAAACAGTACCCTTGCTCTGAAGTAGAGTCTCCAATGAGCACGATCGACGTGGACGTGGACGCGACGTGCTGACGTCACCCATTTGAATAGCATGGGTGACGTCAGCACGTCGCGTCCACGTCCACGTCGATCGTGCTCATTGTAGACTCTACTTCAGACGTAGAAGACGTTCACGTAGGACTTGTACCGTTCCTTTTACACTCGCTTGATTTCTCTCTAATTCTGACTTCATTTCGGCTATCGGTGTATTACTAATTGTATCCCATAACACACGCACATCGCGATTCCCTAATAAACGCGCGATCTGACGCTGATATGAATCCATGGCGCTGACAATTTATTGGGTATTTTACCAATGATCAGAATGAAAGAATAACCAACACAAACAATGACACACGGAAAAAAAAGAAACAATAATGAAATAAAATTATTCCAATTAAATACTGGTATTATTCCAATCTTCTCTCTGCTCTTCGTATGAAATAAAAAAATATGTTTTTCTTTATTTATTTTTTTTAAACAAATTAATTTAAAAATCACTCGCAAAAAATAAAACTAAATTCCTGTTGAACTTACATTTTCGTCAAGTGACGCAACGCGTCTTCACATTTGCCCCGCAATATGACTGACGCTGAAATCACCACTTGGCGAATCAAGTAACAACTCAAGGAGAAATAGAAATTTTAAATTTCAAGGGCACTCGTACCGAGAATTCAAAAAGAAACTTTACTCTTTAGTAATTTCGCATTTGTCGAAACGTATTATTATTATATTCTCTTACGCCTTACGACACTATAAGAAACAAAAAAAAACTCTCACTAACCTTAAAATATGTCGCAATCACTTGCACACGTTTACACGCTACAACAACTTGATTTTCCTCTCAGCGCAAACAAAAGGAAAAAGAAATTATTACCCTTAACCCGTGTACAAAAAAAATGAAAAACAAGGTCTAACATTATTACGCGGTTCGCTTGGTGTCGAACGACCAATGTCTCTTGGCGATTTCACCACACACGGACTACTTTTCACGGTGCTGAAAATCCACTACGTTCATTGCCCACAATGCGCAGGCTCGAAGGAAATGACGTCACGCCAAGCACATGTTCGGTAACGCCAGCAAAAATCAAACCGGAAACTGGTCTAAAATCGTGAAAAATCCTTTCAGATTTTTCGTTATTCGACCACAAGCAAAAAAAAACCTCGATAGATTAGAATTAAAACTAACCTTTTCGACAATTATCACACTTAAGGCTCACGGTGAAAATAAAATACTTTATTCCACCAGACGCTGACATGGTATGAAAACCATCGAACGAGTCTTAAAATCCCAACAGTGCCCCACGTTGGGCGCCATTTGTGACAGTTTTCTAATTAGTTAAAATTAAAGCAATGAAAAATGTGACTAAAATCGTTAACTCAAAATATACACAAAGAATCAAAGGAAACATTCCGCCGAGATTGTAACCGTCGAATGCTTGGCGACGATCAGACTCATTCCATTTATATTTGTCAACTCACCAGAAAATTACCTTTTTCCAAAATCCCGGTTCCTCCGTAGTACGATGGCAGATGGGCCGATAATTAAACACAAGATTTAATTTAAATAAACACTTTATTAATTCAAAAACCAAACAGCTCCACTGGTTAAATAACAGGTGTTTCGTGTCGCGACTATATTGCAAAAGTGTCCGATTCGCACTCAAAATGTCTGGATCTGAACATTGGAACAACAATAGTTCATCTTCACGAGTCTCTACAACGAAAATATAATTGTCGTCAATCAGATTATCGGGCTCTCCAATAGGTCTACGTGACAACGCATCAACATGCGTCATGCGTTCTCCTGGTCAATCGTAAATTCACATTCCGCGATAATCCCCAGCCATCTGACGATCTGAGGTTGTTTTGTTTTCAAAGCATTTATATTGACGAGAGCCTGACAATCCGTTACAACAGTGAATTTGACACTAATTAAAAATTCTCTTAATCGTGATACAGACCGTACAATGTCCAACAATTCTAGTTTACTAGAATCGTAAGCGCTTTCGACCTCTGAGGTCCTTCTACTGACTGCATAAACGAGTTTTAGATTTTTCAAATTGCCCTGTAAAGGCATTGCTCCGATACCACGTGACAAAGCGTCCGTATGAAGTTCCGTGACCTCAGCATTAGGGTCGTAATGCGTCAACACAGGATATTTTGTGAGTCTCGATTTTATTTCCTGAAAGCTATTTTCCTGTTCATTTTCCCAATTATATTTTTCGTCATTTTTAGTTTTAGTAAGTAACGTCAACGGCGCTGAAATTTCGGCGAAACCCGGGACAAACCGTCGGAAAAAAACTCGACAGGCCAAGAAAACTTCTAACCTCGTGAACGTTTCGAGGTCGTTCGAACTTTTTTATCGCTTCCGTTTTCGCATTGCTTGGCTGTATTCCATCGGCCCCTATGTTAAAACCAAAAAATTCAACTGTTTTCATTGAAAAACGACATTTAGATAAATTTAGAGTCAATCGTGCCTCTTTTAGCAAATCTAGGACCATTCTCAATTTTTGAATCATATCATCCCAGGACGTAGATGGTATGATTGTATCGTCAAAAAAATTGAATGCTACATTACCTTGCACTTTACCCAAAACTTTGTGCATCAACTTTGCAAAATAAAAGGGGGCGTTAGTTATCCCGAAGTTTACTCTTTCAAATTGACTAGTCTGCTTTTCCGTTATAAAAGCCGTTTTAGGCTTGGCGTTCTCCGTCAACGGTATTTGGAGAAAACCCTTTGCCAAATCGAGTGTGGTACCTATTTGTTTCTATAAGAAAACGTAACGCGTCATCGAAATTCGGTAAAGGATATTTTATTTTAATAGTGTCCGCATTGACTCCTTGAAAATCTGTAACCTTTCGTGGAATACCGTTTTTATTTTGTACAAGAAAAGCAGGATTAGCAAATTCTGCTGTTGTCTCGGTGACAATTCCAGCTTTTTTATAATCCATCACGATATCATCTAATTCTTCTCTGTCTGTCAGAGACATTTTATACGGTTTCGCAGAATACGGCACAGTCCCCGGTTTTAATATTATGTCCATCACTATCTGATTAGTCATACCTAATTCGTTCAGATTTTGCGCGACACAACACCTATATTCATTTAACAAGTCGACGAATTCTTGTTTTTCTTTCGAACTAATATCATCGTCAACTATCACGTCCTCGTTCGTAATCGGTAAAACACGAGGTTTCACTTCTCTCAGTTTATCTATCGCGTAAATCGCTTCGCCAATTCTGCCACCTTTATTTAACACTTTGAGTTTCGAATCAAAATTAATATAAGGAATAGTTGCTTCTCGATTTTGAATCACTACATCTACGAAATTAATCCAATTTTGTTCTATTTTTGTACTTGATTGGAAATTCTTTAGAATTTGGTAATTCTTTAAACGAAAAATCATCAACGTCACGAAACTCGAATTTGTCACCGACTCGAATATAAGCAAGATCTGACAGCTCTGTGTGATTTCGCCCGATCATAACCTCAAAGTTCTGCACATTATCCGGTACGACTCTCAATAATACATTATGCGGTTTCACATTATCGACTTCAAAAAATCCCGAGACTACTCCTAGAGATTCCACAAAAACCCCACTAGCACCGAAACCCTTTAATTCAATTTTTCCAGATCCAATGAAGAAACCGGAATTAATCGCGACAGTGAGTTTAATTGTTGACACGGAACTTCCCGGATCTACGAAGGCAACGAACGATTTATTATTTATATTGACAGATTTTATAAATTTTTCTACCGAATTATCTGAACTACTCGACATAATTAAGTTAACATTATCATTTTCTTTTTTAACGGATCTATCACATCTTTTTGCCTTATGGCCAACTCGTTTACATTTATAACATCTTACCTGCCTGCTAGGTTTGCTACAGTTTCTACTAAAATGTCCCTCTTTACCACAATTGTAGCATTTGATGTTCCGGTTGATGTTGATGGAAACGCCGTCTGTAGCTTGCTGTCGAAGTCAGAACTGCGTGTTTCTCTCGATTGTGTAGTAACTCCTTGAAAACGTTTATCTCGATGTCCTCTCAACTTCGTCCTTTTCGTATTCCTCTATCGAATGGTACATGTGGTCAATATCGTAAAAAGACTTTGCTCGAATATAATCACTCAGGTTGTGCGAACGCAGGCCTTTACATAGTTGTTTTCGAATTTCACTATCACTTAAATCCAAACTTCGACACAACTTATACTTTCTGTGGAAATATGACGTCGCTGCCTCGTTATGGCGTTGAACACACTGTGTAAGTTCCAAAAGAAGATGCACTTTTGTTCTCTCATAGACAAACGTTCCTTGAAACGCATTTTGAAAACTAACCCAATCGACAGCCGTATTCACTCGAGCTTCGTACCATTCTCGTGCCGAACCATGGAGATGTATTCGCGCTGTCTCGAACGCCATCGCAGGAGTCCAATTATGCAACTGAATGAATGACTGAAATTTTTCAATCCACAGCTTTGCCTTATCCGGGCCTTCTATGCCTTCGAAATTCTCGACGCTTCGATGTAAGTCAGGCATAACTTGGAATCGTTGCGGCTGATGTTGCTGCTGTTGTTGTATCTGCATATTTTTTTGAATCGCCATCATCGTGGCTTGATTTTGTTGCACAATGGCCATCACTAGCCGTCATAACCTGCTGCATGTCCAAAGGCGGAGGAGGAGCATTTTCTTGACCACGATTTCCTTGATTAGCATTATGCGGATCATTATTATTTTGACCGTTTTGACCCAACCGTATCATTGCAACAGCAGCGGCTTCCGCTTGCTGGTTTCTTTGAAAATTCTCAAATTCGTTTGCGTCCATTTTTCAAACAAAGAAAGCGTCACTTATCACTGGGAATATCCCACTTCTGAACTGTTATACATTTTAATATATTTATTATTAGCTGATTAAAAATCGACAGTTTACAAAAGACACTTTAATTATACAAGTTCAACCTTACTTAAACAACAATTACATACTTTTCGTAAATTAAAAGATAAAGTGCAAATACGCACCCGAACTTCTGCAAAGTTCAGACGTCATGATGTCTTTCTTTTTTTTTTCTAATTTCTGGTTTCCAATCTGAGTCCTTGAATAAAAATACTAGTTATTTAAATTTCTTACATTTAAAAATACTTTACATTACTGCATATTCAAATAAATGATTAAATATTTAATTTAACTGCTAACATCTTTTTCAAACGAACAACACTCTATACTTCGATCAGTTCAGTCTTATTCTCTGAAATTGATTCCAACTCAACTCGAAGTGGTGACAATAGTTGAAAATTAATTGAATTAGAACTTGCCTTTCCAGTGAATTTTGACGTCTTATTGTTTTGTACTTTATTTTCTATATACTTAAAAATCTTAAAAATAAATTATCTCCGTTTCTTTATTTATTTAAAGATTATTATTTATTAAAGATTTTTTTTTATTTAGATTTTTTTTTTTTTTTTTTTTTTTTTTTTTTTTTGTGAAAGAGATTTTTACTATTTTGAAGCTAAATGTTACTAACAGGAAAAATACTGATTTCTTTTTCTTACAAAGCAGTGTTTGTTAGGTTGATATATATTTAATATTGTGTACAAGTTTTTTTTATTTTTCCCAACCCCTTTCAACTTACTAAAAAATAAACTACGATCTTTAGAGATAAAAAATTTAAAAGTTAATTAAAGAAAGTTAATAAAAATGAAACACGAAACATAATATATTTTTACAACATTATTTATTCACAATAAGTAACAACTTGTTATATAAACATTATAATTAAACACAATTATAATGATAATAATTATGTCACTTAATATTAGGGTAATGTCACCTTGAGTGGACCGCCTAAGCTTTTTTTCCAAAAAATTCTTTATGAAAGCAAATTAATCGGAGGTTTCTATTCCAAGCTTTAGTTTAGATCCCTAGATAAAAGTTTATCCCATAATAGCTTTGATTTTTATTTATTTGAAAGAAAAAATTGACTTTTAAAAAAAAGTTAATTTTTAAGGAATCAAAAAAGTGTAACCTTGAGTGGACCACTCCTAAAAAATTGTAAAAGTTATTCTAAAATCTTTAATGTATTTAATATTTCTGATATATTAAAACAAAATTTATGCTTATGCAGCTTCAGACCATGATTGTGTCGAAATGTTTAGAAGTGAAACCATTTTTAATAATTTTGGCACATATCACATCAAAATCACAAAAAAATTAATAAAGAACATAAAACATAGTTTCAAACCAATTTATTGTCAATTAATTTCCATAAAAATGGTAAACTGACATTAAAAATATAAAAAACAGGCAGTCCACTCGTGGTTATAAACAGTGGTCCACTCATGGTGACATGCAACTCTTTATGGCAGCCACCACAATTTTTTTTTTGAGTCAAAATTATCACTTAATTAAACTAAGACAATCAATTTCAATGTCCAAAGTAGTAGGAAAAAAAGTTACCTTTTAAAACTTAAATTTTACACTACTTTTACACTTTCGAATCACTTTACTCATTGTAAGAGCGACTTCTTTTTTGGTTTGTGTTCTTAAAAATGCGTTACATCAAACAATAACCTATATGATTATCGCGGAACATAATTTTTTACGGTTTCTAGGTGCAGTGCTATTCATTTTATTTATTTCACGTTTCCGCTGTCAGATAACTTAAAAGCTCAGGTGGTCCACTCAAAGTGGCGGTCCACTCAATGTGACATTACCCTACAGAAAAGAATAAATTTTTCTTCTTTATTATTAAAGAGAAATTTAAGAGCCACGCCCTCTAAGTTGTGGATTTCCCTAAAAAAAGATAAAATTACATATATATATATATATATATATATATATATATATATAACTTATAATTTTTAAATTGGTACAATTGGTACTATTTTTTATACAAAAACTTATTTTGTGCAATAAAGATGGACAATTAATTGACATTCATGCGTATTACAGGGTGGTTCTTATTTTGCAAAAATTGGAATTTTTTTAGGTCATATAGGCCGGAATTTTTTTTAAATGTGAAAAAAATGAACTGCGCACAAGGTCAGCCAATTTTTTTTTATAAATATTAACCCGTACCACCGAATGGTTAAAGTTTAAATGGGATTTAACAGGGGTTTAGTGCACTTCCACAAACTTTATGTTATAACTTTTCTATTACTCTACAATTTAACTTTTGTGGCTATGCATTCTTATAATTCTGATTTAATCCTTTAAACCCTTCGTTAACCCTTCGGCAGCACAGGTTGATATTATTATCAAATGGGCTGTCCTTGTGCACAGTTCATTTTTCCACATTTTAAAACAAGTTCCAGCCAGCGGCGACCTAAAAAATTCCAACTTTCGCAAAATAAGAACCGTCCTAAACGCGTGTATTTATGAAAGGATTTATTCGAAAATAATAACTTTACTTTCCAAATTTTTAAACTCACCAATGATTCCTTACTGTTTAAACGATTTTCTAATGTTTCAATTTTCGATAATCCTTCCTATAAAAGTAAATACAATTTTATTTTGCAGAAAGATTTCTAATTCAAAGTAGTTTTTTTTAATACTTGTACAGATAAATTATTATAATAAAACGGAATTTGTCTTACCTCTAAAGAATTTTTTATATTTTTCAATTCGCTAAGAGGATCATCTTCAGTTTTAGAGCCATGTTTTTTTGACAAATGATTCAACAAATCTTGCTGTAAAAACAAAAATTTTTATTTAATAAGAGCTTTCAATTATAAAATAACACTGAGAAAGCTGTGTACTTAATTCAATTACAAAAAATAGAATTATTAATTTATAACAAATAAAAAAATGAGGATTTATTTTTGTTAAGGGTATTTGGTCAATATAGGTAATTATAATAAAATTAATATGTATCTGTGGTTTTAGTTTGTAATTTCACTTCGACCTTGAATTATATGGTAAAAATGAAATTGAAACTTGAAGTAGTATTTACCACTGTATTTCATATATAGTTGTGGTACATGATTGGTATTTTCATGAAAAACTTTTAAGTAGGTTTAAATTAAAAAAATATTTTCTGTTTACCTCTAACGAACTCGCTATATTTTTCACCTTCTTCTTAGCTTTTTTATACAATACTTTTGAGTTTTCTTTTAAAGTTTCCTTTAAGGACGTATCCCTCGGCTCTTCCTGTAAAAACAATAACAGTTATTTTATTTTATATTTATAAATTATATTTGTTTAATAATTTGATAAAACGCTTCATAACCTTTAAGAATCAGATGCACAATACTTGAAACTTGTTATTATTTTTAAACGTTATAATGGAATTTAAAAAAAATTGGCAATAGGCATTTCTTATGGGCCAGGAATCGCTTATTTAAATGGTGTTTTGAAAAATATTTCAAATTCAGAAATTTAAATACCTTATCCCCCTTCTTAGATTATTTCAAAATTTGATGTTTATCTTAAGTGCAAAAATAGTTTGTATTTAAAGAAATTAGAAACTTGTAATCTCATTGCATTGTTTAACTTATTTTTCATCATAAAAATTCATATTTTACCTCTTCTAATTCTTCAGAATCGAAAGTCATAGAGTTTGGCAATTTCTTCTTGTCGTTTTCATTTTCTGATTTTGTTGAACTTGAATCTTTAGATGTCGACAATTTTGTCTTTCCTTCTTCATTTTTCAATTTCTTTGAACTTTCATTCTTGGATTTTGACAATTTCTTCTTTCCTTTTTTATTTTTCAATTTCTTTGACATTGAATTTTTGGATTTCGATAACTTCTTCTTTCTATTTTTATTCTTTAATTTCTTTGACCTTGCATTTTTCGATTTCGATGATTTTTTCTTTCTTCTATTCTTTAATTTCTTCAATCTTGCCTTTTTAGATTTTTTAACTTTTTTATTTCCCAACTTACTTACTGACGCTTTGCTACTTGAAATACTTGCTTCTGAAGAAGTTTTCGACAAATTTGACTGTAAATATTTTATTGTTAATTTAAATGTTTATTTTAATTTTATTAAAAATGGATATATTTTGTCGGCTTACAATAATATAAAGAGGTTTTAACTTTTTTTGACTTATTTTAAACGTAATTTTAAATAAAATCAAAATATCTAACTGCCTCTAATGTAGCAATTTTTTCCGATATCATGCAACTTACTAAAAGTTGACCAAGAAATGTCGAAGTAAATAAAAATAAATATTTTTAGCGTCAAATATGCAACAAAATTTTGTAATAAATATTTTATGATATTCTTACACTAATTACTTTTAAAAGAAGCCAAAAAACATTAAAGCATTTGTACTATTGTAAAAAAATGTTATTTTAAAAAATTGTTACAAATTCACCTTTTTTGAGATATCTCATTACTTGAAAATTAACCTAATTTTTTTTAGAAGTTATTTTTTTAACAATGTTCTCTCTAAATTTGAATCAGTTAAAAATCATAGTTTTAAATGTGATTTTTTGCTTCTGAATCAGTTAAAAATAACTGATTGTCAGTGAAAAAATGACTGATTTTCAGTAAAAAAAACTCAAAAAGAATTTGAACTTGACTAATTGAATCATTTAAAAAAATCTACTGAAACATTAGTTATTTTAACTAAATGATCAGTAAAAATATTACTATTTGAATAAGTGACTGATTTTTTACTTCTAAATCCGTTATTTTGAACTGATTCATATTTAGAGAGTTATAATAGCTTTCAATTTCTAATAAAGAAAAATTGTAGTTAGTATGTTAGAAAAATATGATTTTGAAAGCGACAAAAAAGGGACATACCTTTTTCGACTTTTTAGAACCTTTAGATTTTAAAAATTTTGTCTTCCCCTTCTTTAATAGTGACTTTCCACTATTTAAAAATTTTGTTGATGATGCAGATATTGTTGAGTTCAACTGTCAAAGGATAATTTTCGAATAATTATTTTCTAAAATTCTGATAATATTGTTTTTTCAATAAGAATAAAAGTTAATTTCTAAGTTTTGTTTATTAACAAGCTTTTTTCATGTTAAGTAACATAGATAATGCTCTACACTGTAAAAAATTTAGAGAGTTAACGGACTCGGGAGTTAAATTTTTTGAGTTAAAAATCAACTCCAAAAGAGAGTTAATTTCTAACTCCCTTCATTCAACACCCGCGCGAGTTATTTTTTCCATGGGGAGTTAGCATTTGGGTGTTAAATTTTAACTCTCTTTATTTAACTCCCCTGGCATTAACTCCCCAATGGGTGCGACTTTTATAGACCCCCCGGGGGAGTTAAAATTTAACTCCCTTTTTTTACAGTGTATATATAACTTTAAATGATGTATATCAAATTTAAGTAATATTTTTATTTACCTAAGTTTTTAATAAATATTCTTACTAACCTTTTTGAATTTTTTGGAACCATGCTTCTTAATTTTTGACATTTTTTTCTTTCCTTTTTTCAAGAATGATTTTCCGCCACCAAACAGTTTTTTCGATGAGGAAAATGAAGATGACTTTAGCTGTAAAAGAAGGTATTAAATTTTCATCCAGTTACAGTTATTAAATCTTTAAAATACATAAAAGTATAATTATACTGCCTTATTATTCTACCTGACAATTTTTTACTTGATTTGTAAAAAATATACTCATAACCCTTCACAATATTTTCTTAACTAATAATGTCAATTATGATAACTCCAATTCTTAGGGGAAATTAATAAACTCTCTAAATTTGAATTATAGTAAAAATGTTTCCTAATTTAAATCAGTGACTGACTTTTTGTTTTTGAATTAGTAAATTCTTTTAAAAAAGTCTTATTTTCCAAAATTTTAGATTTTTAAAAGTTTAATATCTTCGATTAATTTAGGCAAAAAATGTCCAATAAGGGCTCAAAAGATGCGTCAAAGAATAATACTGTACAAAAATTGATAAAAGCATTTAGTGTCCTTTTCATTACATGAATAAAGATTTTTAATTACCTTTGAAAATGATGATCCTAGGCCTTTCATTTTTTTTCCAACTGACAAACCTTTTGGCATTTTAAACTTTAAAAAAATAATATTCTAATTAAACTTTTTTTTAAAAGCAGCTTTTTAAAAACATTTGACTGAAAATTATTCTCTTAAGAAAAATTATAGCACATACTAAAATAATTAGGGTGTTAATGTCATTCAGTTAGGAGTAGAATTTTTCGAGTTAAAAATCAATTTCAAAGTATTTAATCTGTAGTCGAACAAAAGAGTTCACTATTAACTTTCTCACGATTTCGCAATTAAATCTATATTCAAGGATATAATACATGGGAACAAAATTTTAACTCTCTAAATTTTACTCCCTTTGCTTCAACTCTGAAAGAGTAGTAGTTGGGAGTTAAAATTAAAAGCATTTTTTTATAAGTGACTTATACTTTGTTTAAATTTATATAGAATTATAAGATATTATTTTGCTTACCTTTCCTAGTTTCGGAAAGCTGTGCACCAGTATAAATATGGTGCAGAGAGATAAGAGGAGAATTATTTTTAAAGAAACCATTTTTTTCTCAAATAGTTAAAAAATTTAGAGCAACAATATCAGCTTTCAGATGCACACACTCTAGAAAAATAAGAGTTTTAAAATTTATAATATGAATAAAAAATATAAATATATGCCTTTTTTTGTTCTAAAATATGCACTTACCTGCTTAAAGTAGTTATTGTAAATCAAATTCAATGTCTTGTATTGCACTACATTTATAGAGTAGCTCGAAAAGACTAAAATTAATCTGAAATGCTTTTGCACTTTATAGTTCTTTTGCATTTTTAGATTATGTATTTCTTTTTGCGCAACACAAAGTCAAATATTTTTATGATAGAAATTTTAAAGCAATAAAACCGATGTACAAAATTTACTGTAGAAAGAAAAACTTCCCCAATGGGAAATTGCCAATGCTCACCATCCCGTGTAGAAATTGAAAATAGGATTTAATAAGGCCCTGAATAGATGCCCTTTCGAAAGTGAGGCGCAAACTAGGAAAATTCGTCAGGACCTGTCTAATTTCGTCACGCTTGGACTATCAGGTGATGATGTGGAAAAATAGAGAGGTTCTAACTAGATCGCCTTATCAGTGCCTAAGTAGAATATCAGAATGTGTGAATTCAACTAGAGGCATTCTAGCCAGGGCCTGATTGAAATATTTAAAAGGGACATAAATAGATCCAGTTAGATTTCCCTATCTGAAAAAGAGGGCATTTTAGTCAGTGCCCGATTATCACCTATCTAGAAATTTTTAGTGTGGTTGGCCTTACTAATTCCTTATCAGCGCCCCTTTTTAAATAAGGCGAAGTAGGGAAATTTCTACACGGGATTGGCTAAATAATGGACCAATATTGGCTGCCAACAGTTTTTTCTTGGTCAAACATTGGCAACTAATATTGGGCTATTATTGCTGGAGTCTTGGAATGATCACGACTTTGCCAAGCATTGTCAGCCAATATTGGATCACTATTGGCTGCCAAGGCAAATGCCGGACTTTCCAAGCCTTGGTTATTCATTGGCAACAAAGATTGGACCAATGTTAATGACCAATTATTTACCAATGCTTTAAAATTAAATTAATGCTTGGTTATTTCTTGGTTACCAATACTGAACCAACGTTTGAAATCTATATTTTACTAATACCAACACATAGCAAAAATTTAAAAAAAAAATTGAATTACTAATCTGGAGAAGGAAAAATAATTAATTTAATTAGAACACTCTGTTAAAAACAGAATGTGATAAAAATCAGACAAAGGCATATTGAATCCGCCATTTTGAATTTTTCAAATCTGACATATTCGTAATCAGCGACCCCAAAAATCCTCAAGTACGTCCGATTTTAAAGAAAATCCACACACACTGTATTTTTCGCACTATGTCACTTTCGGAAACATTTGGGATACGTTTACACTTATTACAGTAGGTGATGTATGTATAAAAACATTATTTGCAATTAACATTTGTTAAAGTAAACATTCCGTCAAATGACATTTATAACCATTAAAAAATATCTTTTACGGTAATTTGAGTTAATCAAGGTTCGAGAAAATCCAGTTTTTATAATATTAAATATTTTACACGGAAAAAAAAAGTTCCCAGATATTTCAGGAATTATTTCCTAACTCTTGGATACGTGGTAACAGCTCTGAACTAGCGTCGAACATTCAATGGTAATCAATGAATGTTTGAAAGAAATTCGGGAACTGTTTTAGAAAACGCTGTAAATAGTCCAATAGTCTTTTTTTCATTTCTTTCTCATGTAAAGTCCATGGCACTGGCCGCAACTGTTTCTGAAATTTTCGGGAACTCGTCAAGGAATCTTGGTGCGCAGAAACTGTGCGCACCAGTCTCAACGTCAGTAAGACTTGCGTGCCTTATATATTTATTTTATGCTGAGGTATTTAACGCTCCTGTTTAGCTCACGTGGATAAGACGCCGGACTTCTATTCCTCGGGTACGCGAGTTCTGTTCCAGCCGCCGTCGATTTTTCTCTCATATGGTTTTTTCTTTTTCAGAAACTTAATAAAAAATAAAAATTGTTATGTGACCTTCAAGGATAAATGTGTGTGTGTGTGTGCGGACGTGTCAAGGAGGGGAAGTGGGAGGGGGGAAGCAGAATCCATTTTTTCTTGCATTTGCCTAACTTTTCGATTTTCTTGAACAGTTCCCGACTTTTTCAAGAACAGTTTGCCGAGAAGTGGTGAAATAGTTATAATTTGTAGAGAAATAGTAAATGACATATTTAAACGAGGCAACCTTTAGTTCTCTGTGAACTACCCGCCGTATCCAAGAGTTAAGAACGAAGTTCCCGAATAATCTTCGAACTTTTTTTTTCCGTGTATTAACTTACATTTGAGCAATTCCATGGGAAGTGATCGACGATTTTTCAACATTGTTAGCAATTTTATTGAAACTTTTTTCCTTGTAGCTATAAGGATAAGATATGATAAAGTGAAGACGATTTTAAAAATTTCGAAAAAATTTTGAAAATATTCAAATTTGAAAATTTATGTACTAATTTTTTAAAATTAAGATAACTCCGATTGTTTTCAATATTTGTTGAAATTTTTTTTTTAATTTTTACAGTATAACTAGTACTTTTTAAATAAATTTTTTAGAAAAAAAATTTTCATTAGGGGAGAGTGGGGCAAACCGGACCGGTGGGTAAACCGGACCCCTCTCAATATTTCCCAAATGGCGAAATTGGAAAAAGTGTTGTTTACAAATTTAAAACAATTATGTTTAGTATACCTTATTTTTTCAATCTGACAGTTTTAGCTTGCGTTTGTGCGACGCAGGGAGCAAAAGTTTTTTTTAGTTTTTTTTCTACACTTTTACGAATTTTTTCTTAAGGAAATTCTGAGGAAATCGTGTAATGTTTCCAAATATTAGGTCTTAGGTTTTGAAGGTACACACCTCAGGAATATTTACCACCAAAAACTTTGATGAATTTGCAAAGCGTTTCTTTTTGACAAACATTTATTCTCAAAATGGGCCTGTGAGGCAAACTGGACCGTTTTCGGTGGGGCAAACCGGCCATAGGATATTTCCATTGAATTAAAGTTTCATAAAAATGATTTTTAAATATAAAATGTTTCTTTCACTAAAATATTTACTTACAATGAAAAATAATTGTCTTCCAATGAGAATTGGACCCTTTAATATTGTTTCTCTGATAATGACAAACATTTTTATTTTTTTATTAAAAAAAATATTTATTTAATTAAAATTCAATCCCGTATTATTATTTTTATTACTACAACCATTGTTTACATGATTCTTTATGTTTTTTATTATTGTAGATTATGTAAATGCAATATTATAAATAAAAAACCAAACGGTCCGGCTTACCCCAGGGGGTGGGGCAAACCAGACCGTTTGCAAAATTTTTTAAAGTTAACACAGCAACTAAACAAAATAAAAGATAAAGTATAGGTGTCTCTGGGAAAAAGTAGCGCAATTAAATGCTCTTTCAAACAAGCCATCGAAAAATGAAATCGGTTGATTCGTTTTTGACAAGAGTCAAAAAACCGTTAGGGGGTCCGGTTTGCCCCATTCTCCCCTAATTATTAAAAATTTTTCAAAAAAAATTTTTTTTTTATATTTTGAAAAACACCCCCCCTCCGATTTTTTTATAGTGACAGACAAAAGTAATAAGAAATTTTTCGTTAAAGTTTCATAGCTTGGGATCGCGATAACTTTTCGAGAAATCAACGAAAAAATCTTTGGCGCCCCATTGAAACTGACGCGCTCACGGACGTATGTCCAAGAAGTTGACCACGCCATTTCATTTTTTCTCAACAAAATTTTGATTAAACTGAAAACCAAAACTTGTGTTACACCTATTAAACGATAACAAATATTGTGCTGGAAAAAAAATTTATATATTTTTCAAAAATTAAAAAAAATTTTCTTTTATACTTCAATTTTTTTGAACATTTTTCAAAAATCAAAATTTTGAAAAAATAAAATAGTGCTCAGCGAGCACAATAAAAAAGCCTATAACAATTTTTCAAAAAGTTTTTCAAAAAATTTTTCAAGAAAATCACATTTTTTGACTCTAAAATTTTTTGAACCTTTTTAAAAAATCAAAAGTTTGGAAAAATAATATTTTTGCCGAATTGTGCTCGACGAGCACAATAAAAAAGTCTAAAAAACAATGTTTTAAAAAGTTAAATAATTATTTAAAATAATTATAGGGGAAATTGGGGAATTGTGGGTCACCTCCATTATTTAACAATATTTTAAAGTTTGATCATCCAATTTTTTTATTTTCTTTTGTTCGGCAAAAGTAAATTTTTTAAAAGCATTTCATGACTTTACAGCGCTTTACAAATTACCTATAAGTCGTAAACAACAACAAACTGAAAATTGCATTCAAATATTTATTTTAGGCGCTCATGTTTTTATTGTTTTTACAAAGATTTTTAGGAATCGCCTAAATAAAAAAAATTTTAATATATTTTTACTTTTTTTTTTACTTCGACAAAAAAAATGCAAATTTAAATGAAAAAATAATACAAAGCTTTTTGTAAAATGAATCATTCGGGGAATTGTGAGCCACTATTTTTTTAAAAGTATGCAGGTAGGGGAGTCTAGGTGCGGTTGTTACGCTGTGCAGTTGTTACAAATGGAATATTTTAAAAACAGTGAATTATAGAGATGGGGTTCCCAAAGGAAAAATGTTTAGTTTTTATGTATGAACTTTTTGCAACATGTTTAAAAATTATACGCAGACTTTACAAGTAAAAAAATAGGCACATTGGTTTTTAGAGGCCAAGAGTAAATATTTCTCTGCTTGATACTTTTTAAATAATTAATAGACCTCTATACTTAACAAAGTAAATTTTTTAATATCAATTCTATGAGGATTAAGCTTTAAAAAACTGCCTTGGTTGTCCACATTTGAGGCTCCGGATGTTAAAAGGGCACACGCGCGAGCACACGGCAAATAATTTGGCCCCTGGAGATAAAATTTTGAAGTTGTTCAAAATGAATTTTAAATTATTGTTTCTTATACAGAATTTCAAGGCGAAACTTTTTTTCTAATAAAAATTTTTTATATAATTTATCGTTTTCACGTAAATTGAAAAAACGTGATTTTTTAAGTTAAGAAATTTTAATGAATTTTTGACTTCAACTCGTGACTACTTCGTTAAATATTAATATTTTTCTACAAAATTTACACACAATATTCTTCAAACTATTCCAAGAGTGAAACAATATTTGGAAATTTAAAAAAAAATTGTATGTCAAAGTAAATAATTATTTAAATAATTTTGTCGGAAAAATGATTCTCCTATTTTCAATTGAAAAAGTTGAGTGACGAATTTTCGTTTTCGGAAAACTTTCAGCGACAAAAATGTTCATTAATATGTTAGGAAGTTTTTTGGAAAATATCTCGCCATTTGATAATAAATTAAAGTTAATAGAGCAATTTTAACATTGTCGCGCTCTGCTGTAAACGTAAACAATGTCTAACTATATGCATTGGTCTTGTAATGGCGGCCATGCTACACGTGCGCCGCCACGCCGCAATTTTACAGCAGAGCGCGACGATGTTAAAATTGCTCTATTGTCTTTAATTTATTATCAAATGGCAAGATATTTTCCAAAAATCTTCCTAACATATTAATGAACATTTTTGTCGCTGAAAGTTTTCCGAAAACGAAAATTCGTCACTCAACTTTTTCAATTGAAAATAGGAGAATCATTTTTCCGACAAAATTATTTAAATAATTATTTACTTTGACATACAATTTTTTTTTAAATTTCCAAATATTGTTTCACTCTTGGAATAGTTTGAAGAATATTGTGTGTAAATTTTGTGGAAAAATATTAATATTTAACGAAGTAGTCACGAGTTGAAGTCAAAAATTCATTAAAATTTCTTAACTTAAAAAATCACGTTTTTTCAATTTACGTGAAAACGATAAATTATATAAAAAATTTTTATTAGAAAAAAAGTTTCGCCTTGAAATTCTGTATAAGAAACAATAATTTAAAATTCATTTTGAACAACTTCAAAATTTTATCTCCAGGGGCCAAATTATTTGCCGTGTGTTCGCGCGTGTGCCCTTTTAAGATCCGGAGCCTCAATTATTAACTTTTTGAAAAATTGTTATAGGCTTTTTTATTGTGCTCGCTGAGCACTATTTTATTTTTTCAAAATTTTGATTTTTGAAATGTTCAAAAAAATTTAAGTATAAAAGAAAATTTTTTTTAATTTTTGAAAAATATATAAATTTTTTTTCCAGCACAATATTTGTTATCGTTTGCTAGGTGTAACACAAGTTTTGGTTTTTAGTTTAATCAAAATTTTGTTGAGAAAAAATGAAATGGCGTGGTCAACTTCTTGGACATACGTTCGTGAGCGCGTCAGTTTCAATGGGGCGCCAAAGATTTTTTCGTTGATTTCTCGAAAAGTTATCGCGATCCCACTATGAAACTTTAACGAAAAATTTCTTATTACTTTTGGCTATTACTATAAAAAAATCGGAGGAGGGGTGTTTTTCAAATCATAAAAAAAAATTTTTTTTGACAAATTTTTAATAATTAATGAAAATTTTTTTTTCTAAAAAATTTATTTAAAAAGTACTAGTTTCAAATTTGAATATTTTCAAAATTTTTTCGAAATTTTCAAAATCGTCTTCACTTTATCATATCTTATCCTTATAGCTACAAAAAAAAGTTTCAAAAAAATTGCTAACAATGTCGAAAAATCGTCGATCACTTCCCATAATTGCTCATATTAAAAAAATATTTCAAAGACGAGTATAAAAATTTGTACACGCACACAACAATAATTTCTAGATAAAATAATTTTATTTTTCTTCGAAAATATTTATCATTGTTTTTCTTTCATTTAACGAAATTTAAAAATATAGGTACATATCTTAGAATTCATTTTAATTTATAATAATATTAATTTGAAATGAAATCATTAAAAAAATTAATTATTTTTAATAATTAATTCATAAAATTAATTGTTTTTATTAATTTTAAATGAATTAATTTTACAAATTAATTGCTCATCTTAAAAATTTATAGAAACAATACAGTTGTATTTAAAACACGAATAAAATTTTATTTACATTGCAGTTTAGAAAAAAAGATTTTTTAAATAAAAAAATTAATTAAACAATTTTTCTATTTTTTCTACACTAATAAAAATGGATTAGTTGATTTTTTCATCAAATTGATGGTTAAAAAATTATGTTTAATTTTCTCAAAGCTCTGAGTACTGTATAAAATTATTTTTCAAGATTAATAAACAAAAGAAAGTTGTCTTTAAATGAAAAAAGTATGTAACAAATTGTTATCGTTGTCAAAACATTGCGTCATCCAATAAGGACTATAATTAAGCTATAGCAACATATTTCTTACTAATTTCTAATTTTCTGTAATTTTTTTTAATTTTAGTTTTTAAAATATCATTTTTAAGACATATCTTTTGACCTTTACGAACATTTTGCTGTCAGTTTATCAACATTTATAAAAAATTTTAAACCTAACTTTTTATTAAACTTTTCTTGATTAATTTTTATGATGTTTTTTATTTGTGATTTTTAGTTTTTTACTATTTGAGTGTTTAATATGCATGAGATATACTTTAATTTAATTCATTATCGCAATTTTACAAAATTTTTAATGTTTAAATAAAAAATTTTAAAAGGTGGGAGAAAATAAACAGATTATATAAACTGTTTAAAATTATTTATTCACAATAAACAATAATTGTCATGTGTACATAATTTTAAAGATCATTATATGTCATTTATGTTATATCAATAAAAAAAATTTTACCATTTTATTCAATTAATTAATTCTTCATTGATTCGATAAAATCAATGGTTTTCCTGCAAAAACAAAATTAATTTTATTTGATACATACATAATAAAATTATTTTTATCCCACATGTACAAAAACGGCGCTTTCTGATAGCAGCCGACAGGGAGGAAAGTCATTCATTTCTTCGACCGTATGAAAATGGCGGCCGTGTTCTCCCAAGGGCAAGAAAATTAGCTGTTCACATGCATTTTTCTTGCCCAAGGGAGAAATCGGCCGCCATTTTCATACAAATCGAACAAGTGAATGACTTTTACTCCCTGTCGTCTGCTATCTGAAATCGCCGCTTTTGTGCATTAGGAATAAAAAATATCGTAAGTAACACGAGAATAAAGGCAGCCAATTTCTTTACGATGATTTTTGTGACACTTGTTCCGGTCTCGGGGCGCCTACGGCGCCCTCGACCTCCACTCGTGTCACAAAAATCACCGTAACGAAATGGCTGCCTTTCTCCTCTTGTTGCTTAATATACTATTGTCTGATAATAATGATTATTTAAAATAGCATTGTCTTTTATTAAATAATCGGTTTTTGTACAAATGTTGAATAATTTTGCTACTTGTTTATTTTATTAATCTCACCGGCTACTCGAAAGCATCCATCGATTCATCATCATCAATAAAAGGTAATTGTTTTTCCATTTCTTTCATCCTATTTGGCTACAAAAATTAAAATTAATTTGATGCTATAAATTTCAGTTTTCTTATTATGGAAATATACAGGACTGACACTGAAATTAAACTATTTTGCAAATAGAAAAATGGTTACACAAAAAACCGTTTAGAACATTATTTGATATTATCATGCATTTCAAGCAAATAGATGTAATTTACTTTTTCGTTTCCTATCATGAAAGAATTAAAACAGAATTTTAAACTTTTAATCTCACCGGACTAATGTTTGAATTATTCTCCATTATTGATTCTGTCAACGAATGTTTAGGCAAATTTTTCCCAGCCTTTGATAATTTTTTCCTTTGCAATCTCTCTTTTTTCCTTTCGAATCTCCCTCTTTCCTTTTCCAATTTTTCGTGTCTTTTTCTTAATGATTCTTTTGCCGCTTCCGCTCGTGTGAACATTTTTCTCATTCTCTTTTTTTTTCTATTTGTCATAGGACGAGAAACTTCTTGGCTACTTGAAAGACTGTTTGAGATTGAATCTTTAAGCTTTGTCAACTGTAAAAACAATTTATAATTTTATTAAATATATATTTTATTTCTATATTATGGTTTATATTTTTGAAAAAACTAAATTAGTTTTTACTAGAGTTGTTAGGTATATAACTACTTAATTTTTAATTATCAGTCAAAATCATTTTTGCAATAAATATAATAATTTACCTTTTTTAAAGTCCCACTCTTTAATTTTCCCAATTTTTTCTTGCCTTTTTCAAGTATTGATTCGTCACTACTTAAAGACAATGCTGATGGTTTGGATGAATCTAACTATAAAAACAAAAGAAATATTATATATACTTTAAATTCCATATAAATTACAATTTCCAACTGCTACAATTGATTTTAAAAATATTTAGTAATAAATATGAGTTTATAAAAAGTTTTTTTTCACTTTTGTAATAGCTGCTTCCCCTGAACTTAATTTCTTTGATGATTTTTTACTCAAAAATTTCAGCTGTGAAAAATATTTTTAATAGTTTCATTAACGAAAATTAATGGTGTTCTATATGTAAGTTTACAATGATACTATTATACTATGTTTGTTAAAATTTACCTTCGGTAATTTCGGAAAGCTGTGTACCATCATAAAGGTACAAAGAAACAACAGGAAAAATATTTTTAAAGAAACCATGTTTCTCACCTAAACTAGAAAAGGAAAATTTAAAATTTTTTTAATATATTAATATAAAATAGAAATATTTTCCTTCACTTAATCAATTAATCGATTTGATCTGAAATATGTGCACTCACCTGAAAATAGTTGTTATTATGTGTTAAATAGAACGTTTTGCACTGCACTTGCAGTTCGAGAGTACTCGAATATTTATCAGAAAGTCTTTCACCGTTTTTATAGATATTTTATGTTTTTTTATTATATGCTTTTTTAATATTTTTGCATACCACAGAGTTGATTACATTTATGTTAAAAATTTTAAAGCAGTAAAAAAAATAAAATTTTAACATTCCGTTGTCATTGGGTTAACTGGACCGGAAATTTTGAAATAAAATTAAGAATTGTGCTTTAAAATATCCTTAATACATATTATTTTTAACAAACTTTGACAATTCGATGATTTTTATTATACTTCAGGGTGGTTCCTTGTAATTATTTTCGTTGTACTATACAGATTTTTATTTACCTTTTAAAAAAATAAAAAATTTATGAACAAAAAAGTTATTAATGTTTTTTATAAAAAAGTTATTAATGTTTTTTATAAAAAAGTCCAATGTTTTTCAAATTTTTGTTTAATATTTAATTTTTTCTACTACGAAATAGCCGAAAAATAATTCTAAATGTTACAAATAACGTAACATAAATATGGGGCAAATTTTCTCAAGTGTACCAATGTCAAAATTGCAAGTTGTTGGATCGGGCTAATAAAAAATTCTTGTTGATATTAAAATACTAAAAAATTATTCAAGTACAGAAGAAATCATCTCTTCTTACATCAAAAATGTAAAAATTAAAAAAATATTCTTTAGAAAATGTCAAAAAATATTAAGCCGGGAATATAGTTATGCAGCGCGACACACGCATACGGTGTTGAATATTTTATTTAAACAATCGTTGCAAATAACTGGAATACATTTTTTTAAAAGTAGAATTGTATAAACATTTGTTTAAAAAAAGAACTAACACTTTATCTTTATTTTTATAAATGATATTCATTTGTTAATTAATTTTTATAAATATTTATTTATAAAACGTCCATTTATCCAAAATACTTCATATTGGGCTCGTTGGATGCGGATTTTGTAATGCTTTACAGTAGTACCTTTAGAATTGCGTCAACTTTATTTTGTTGTAAAATATTTCAATTTTTATTAATTAATTAATTAATAATTCGAAAACAAAAAAAAACGTCATTTTTCTCGTTTTAGATATTGAAAGTATACATCTTAAGCTTTCTTTTGGTACCAAAAAAAAAGAAAAAAAGGGTCCTTTTTGAAAAAAAATCAAAAAATTTTGAATTTTTTAAAAGAAGGGTTAAATTTTGAATTTCAAAAAAAAAATTTTCACCATTTGAAAGAGCAGGAAAAAACCTACCAAAAACATATAGGTCAAAATTATTTTTAATTTATTATATAGAAGCTACGATTTTTTAGAAAACTCACTGTTCATACTTATCCAAAATCTTCAACCCCCTCCCCCCTCTACAATTTTTTATAAAATTTGATAATACTTGGTGGTTGAAGTACTCATACATAGTACTAAATACTGTGAAAATATTAGCCCGATCGAACAACTTGCAATTTTGACATTGGTACACTTAAGAAAATTTGCCCCATATAATTATATGCTTCAAGATAGGACTATAGAGAAAATTAAAAATTAAAATGGCAGCTCAAAAATGGAGTCTGAAGTTCAAATTTTTTTGCAAAATTTACCCGAATGGACGAAATTGTTAAAAGTGTTTAGATTAGCTTGAAACTTGTTACTCGGAGTTATTAAGGGTCGCTGATCACGAATCTGAAGTCCAATTTTAAAAATTCAAAATGGCGGATCTAATATGGCGGACAATTTAGATTCGCTTGAAACTTGTTACTCGGGGGTTTTTGGGGTCGCTAATTATAAATATGAAATTCAATTTTCAAAATTCAAAATGGCGGATTCAAAATGGCGGACTTTCCAAAAACTCATTAGATTCGTTTGAAACTTGTTACTCGGGGGTTTTTGGGGTCGCCCATCACGAATCGAAGTCCAATTTTCAAAATTCATATTGGCGGATCCAATATGGCATATATAATTTTTCTAAAACATTATATTTTTTTCTTGTTTCTGTATTTTTTTCTTTTTTTTATTTATATTTAAATTTAATGCTGGAAAAATCTAAATTTAAATGCTTTGTTTTAATCATTAGTTATGTTTATTAGCAAAACTCTGTTTGCAGAAAAAGAAGTTGCACATTTTACAAATAAATGTGTTCTGATTTTATAAATTTCTGAAGAGCAATATTTTCTGTTGTTAATTTCGAACACATTTATTTTGTAAAATGTGCAATGCCTATTTTTGTAAACAGCGTTTTGCAGACAAAAATAATTAAAGGTTAAAAAAGCATTTAAATTTGGTCGACAATGGAAAGCGAAAGTGAAAAATAAGTGGAAATTTTTCCACGTACAGTATACTACCGGTTACTAAGATTAAAACAAATAATTTTTTTAAGTAAAAATGTATCGGAGTTACATGTTTATATTTAGATAATAAAAAAAGAAATTTTTTAGTGTATTCATTTTTACGACTCTAAAAGTTTGTTTTAGTGAATCGTCCACGCACAAAAAATAAATTAAAGGCAAAATAATTTTTATTTTTCCTTGAAAAACTATTTTTTTAGTTTCATAATCAATTTTTTATTAGCTTGCAAGAATAAGTTATTTATTATTAAAAAATTTATAATAAAATTAAAAAATAATTAAAAATTTTTATTAAGTACTTAAAAAAATGTTTCTTAATTTTAAAACATTTATTGTTTTTCTGTATTATTGCAAATTTTTTTCCTTTAAAAAATAAAAATTAAAACTTTGTAATTTCTTTCTTGTTTATTATACTAAGACCAACTTTATAAAAGATAAGATTCAAAAATTAATTTATTGCCAACTTTGAAAATAATTAATTGATTTAAAATTTGGCTGTAAAGGTTAGATTGTGAGTAAAATTATTTTTTTCAAGTTTTCTTGTATTTATAAATGTTAAAATTGTTGGCTATATGTCGAAAATTTCAATTATTCAAAAAAAAATTTCAATTATTTAAATGCGATAAAGTAAAATTTTTATATACAAAAAATACTAAACTTTAAAATAATTTATGTGAAAGGCCGTAGCAGTATAAGCATGTAAAAAGTGACCCCTCTTGGATTGGGTCCATACCCAATGGGAAATTTACAACTGGCGTAGTACTGCGCCAGCACTGGCAGCACTGGCGGCAAGGCTGAGAGCCAGCACTGGCATGGCACTGGGATGATAACGCCGTCCGGCGCTGCCGAAGTACTGTCTGTCAGTGCTGCCAGACAGCGCTGGCGCAGCACTGGACCAGTGCTGGCTGAGAATATTGCCGCAATAAATGCCGTATTGTTATTAATTAATCGTAAATTCATAATTATAAATAATTTAACAACAAAATGGTAAATAATATTAATAAATAGTTATTATTCATAAAATATTTCTCTTCTTAAAGAAATTGTATTAAAGAAGGAGACTAACAATGAATATAGTAAATGAAGTAGAAAAAAATTGTTTATAACATTTAAAAATTAAACAATAAACAATTACAGTAAGTGTGCATTAGATTTTCATATTTTAGTACCTAACGATTGGAATCTAGAAATATCGCAAACCTATGAAAATAAACAAAATTGCTGACGAGGGGAATCGAACCTACGACCTACGGACTAACAGACTAACGCTCTAACCACTATGCTAACGACACGTGTGTACAGTAAAGTATTAATATCTCAGTATCATTCAGACATACAATTATTGAGTCAAAGATGAGAAAAAAATAGGGATACGTTAGAAATAATAAATTGAAGTAAAATAAGTTAAACTAAATTTTTAATAATTAAATTAAATTACTTTATTTATTGCATTTAACATTTTACGTAATTCTTAAATTACGTGGTAATTTTTTAATACTTTTTTATTCATAGTAAGAAGTATAATAGTATTTTAATAGGAACTAAATTATTATTGAGATTAAAGTTTAAATTTTGTTTATAATTTTAATTTGTTTAAATAATTTATTATTTACAAAATTAGACAATTGTGTTAAATTGTTATTATTAAATGTAATAAGAATAAAAAATGAACAACTGAAAAGTAAAATATTGATTTTTTTCAATAAATTTATATTTATAAACATTTATAAACTTTTTTTATAATTTTTTTCAAGTTTATGTCAAAAAATCAGTGTTGGCAAAGAGCGTTGTGAACAATTTTTCTATACTCAGCCAGCACTTGCCGCCGTGGCTTGTCCAAGCTTTGGCGGAACAAAAATTCTGTACTGCGCCAGCACTAATTGTCGAGGCTCGGCTAGAATACGCCGAACAATCGTCTGAGTACTAAGCCAGTGGTGAACATCGGCACTACACTGGCATTTCCCATTGGGTATTTAGAGAATAATTTTGACCTATTATGAGACTTATTTTCACCAAGTTTCAACTCGAAAAAAAATTTTGCTTTTGAGTTATACAATTTTTTTTGAAAAATTCAAAAAAATTCAAAAATTTTTTTTCCCTCCAAAATGGCTGAACCGATTTTCATGAAACAATTTTTTTTGTACAATACAATATAAACAGTTGATAAAAAAAAATTGTCGACCAAATTCAAACAAAAAAAGTCAGTATAAAGTCAGTAAAAAAAAAAATTTTTTTCAATTTTTTTAAAAAAACATTTTTTTTTATTGAAATTTTTTTTGCACCACCGCCATTTTTTTTACATAAGATAATAGTCATTTCAAAAGTAACATATAATTTTTGCAAGATGATTGAAAGGGTACTTCATACTTTAAAAAATAAAAAACCAATTTTTGGCCCCTAAATAGTACATATAAACGAGGGGCCAACATTTTTTAAAATTAAATTAAAAATTAATTAATACTTAAATTAAATTTCTAAAAAAGTTAATAATATATGCCTGTTTATTGTAAATATTGATATTTTAGTCAACTTTTCAAAAAAATTTACAAAAAAAAAAATTTTTTTTTGAAGTTTTTTCAACATTGGCATATTTTTTAAAAATTGTAGAAAAAATTTGAAATTTACTTAGATTTAAGTTTTATCTTTAACTTAAGACCAAAAGAATTTAAAAATCTTATTCGGTTCGTG